AGAGAAAAATGTATGTGTCAAATTTTAGCCTAATTTTCCATCCATGTGTAGCCTATTAATTCAGCAAAACCAGTGTATTACTGTTCTGAGAGATAGCTCAGAAGATGCAACAGCACCACACAGTGCATCTCCTGAGCCAACACCACGGTTTACCTGCAGTGCTGTATTTGCAGTGATGAGCTGCTCCAGCTCAGATAACTCTGTGCACTTTCCTTTTCACTTTCCTTCTCCCCCACTCTTCTGTGTTCGACAATATTTATTTTGCCAACCCTCAAACCCCTCAAGAGCTGCGCTACAATGACATACACACCCATACACACCCATACACACCAATAATTCCAGCCTCTCATCCAGCCTGTTTCCTTTTTTTTTCTGGTCTTTGTCTTTTGGTATCAACTTTGATGCCAAACCATGACATGCACCTGTCAATTTATAATGCTTCTGATTCACAAACATTCGCAAGGTGTGTCATGAATCCAGCCAGGATTTTGCACACACACTTATTTTGTGCAGAGAGTAAGAATATTTCTGCACACATATTAGTGAATGAGGCCCAATATCTCTTAAAAGTCTACACCCATCTTTTGACTGTATCCTTGGCTACAGCACGTTTCTTGTATTGGTCAGATCCATTAGCATTGATCTTAATTGCAAACACTCATCTACCCCCACTGCTTTCTTATCCTCAGGCAGGTTAATTTGTGTCATTCCTCTGAGTTAGATGAGTTTACAGCTTTCCTGTATGGTTGAGGGGCATTTCACATAAATCTTCTCACCCTGTCAGCGGATCGCCAAAGGTGTGAGGCCATTGGCAGACTGGGATCTGCCTGAGCCTGATGAGGGAGTCCAGGAAGCCTGCTTTGATTTCATCAGTTGGTTTATGTACAGTAAGCAGTTGCTTAAATCTGAGAACAGTGGTATGGTCTAACTGTTGATATTGAAAAATTGTATTGATACTGTTATTAAGAATCGTGATGTAGAGCTTTGTGTTGATGATATACGTGAAATAGAATCATCTGCTCGACATGTAACAAAACAGACAACCGATTACACGGGTGATATAATGGCTTGGTACCGATTGTAATCAATCTGCCTGGAAGTGGAGTTCCAAGCCTGTCAATAAGTGTTCCAGTGCTAGTCAGTAGTTTATCCATGGACAGGCCACTAATTGGTTTTAATATGTTACAACAACTTGTTGAGAGACAGCCAGACCAGTTAGTACCCGCCCTGATCACATTGCTACACAATGCCATCTGTATTTCTCCTGAGGAAGCGGAAGCGATTGTGAATTTCATTCAGACACCAAAACAACATGTGAGGCAAGGACAATTAAGAACAGGTGAGAGAGACTTGGTCCTCCCTGCTGAACGGGTTACCTGGGTCAAGTGCAAAGTTCCACCAGCCATGGACCTGTCTGATCAGCTGTTTGAGGTAGAGGAGAATAGTCAGACCCTAGAGCCACTGGAAATAGGTACTGGCTTGTTGGAGGTTCAAAACCCTGCAATGCCTTATGTTACAATTGCTGTGGAGAATAGTACTAAACATGACGTCACTCTGCCAAGGAAGACAGCGCTGGGTACCTTACAGCACATCGAGCGGCTGGTTGATGCCGAAATGCCTGACAAATCCACATGTGCATTCACTGTCAATGAAAAAAATGTAGAATCTCCTGTAACAGCTACAACTCTCTGGCACCCTCCAGTGCACCTTGGCCACTTGAAGGAGGAACAGCAACAGGTGTTCAGGACAATGTTGTACGAGGAGTCCAAGGCCTTTACGAAGGATGAAAGTGACATTTGATGTATCCCAAGCCTGCATATGGTGATTGACTTGGAGGATGATATCCCAGTGCAGAGTGCCTACACTTCCACTTCCCCAAACAGCTGCTAAAGGAGGTTAAAGAGTATGTTCAAGACCTTATTGTGAAGGGATGGATTGTGAAATCTAAGTCCTCTTATGCCGCCCCCATTGTGTGTACGGAAGAAAGATGGTACCCTACGCCTCTGCATCGATTATCGCAGAGCCCTTGCAGGGGGGGTGTGGGGCGTGGATGGAATGAATGAATCAATCAATGACACGGCTAGCATAACATAGACAAGTTTTTGGCAGGGGCCGCGGGGCTCCCACGTAAACGCAAAGCAGAGGATGAAGCATCGCCCAAATGTGCAAAGC